CATAGAAATTATTTGCATTAACTATACGTATATGGATCAATGTAAACCTATATATACAAAGAAATCGTCATTTTTTTTCCGGTCCCGCTAAAATACGCTATGCAAACACATATATATATATATATATATATACACATATATATATGTATATATACATATGTATATATACAGGGTGTCCCGACCTTTTTTGCCAATACTCTATCTACACTTTTGTGTAGATAGAGCGGATTAAATTGAATCGAAAAGTTCTTTACCATTTTGCAATTTTCGCAATGGTTAACAAAGATATTAGTTACTAAAAATTGCAAAATATTGATCTTGAATAATTTTTTCTCAAATGCTATCAACTTTACAGAAAAATTGCAAGAGACAAAAATTATTTATTTTCTACTCATAATGTTCTGAGAATTTTTTCAGAATTTTTTAATACCGTATTTTCTCATGCTGGTAAAAATAAGAAAATGCAGTACTAAAAATTTCATTAAAAATTCTGAAAAAATTCTCAGAACTTTATGAGAAGAAAATAAATAATTTTTGTCTTTTAGTAGAAAAAAGAATTTTACAAATTGGCCAATCAAAAATTGCTTTGAAGCATTTGTAGCATAGCGTTGAGCGTACCCTATATTTTCAAAATTCCTTTTTTCGAAATTTCCGACTGTCACTGAGAGAGACGAATTATTATATTTTTTTTTGTACGGCAGAATAATTTAACATGGCTGCCTTAAGCTCGCTTTTATGACGTACTTCATGCCACTCCCAACCTTAATTTGTATCGCAATTGCACGAGCCGTGACCGATCAAGTAACTTTTCAGTTCATGGTGCCAATATGCAAATTGATGAGGTAGAGCGAACGTCCGCGCTCTTTGTGGCACTTTGTGCGCTCGATCGGCGCCGTCGTTACACTATCACAGGGAATGGCGATGGAAGCTGCATTCTGCGAGCGGCGTAATTCACGATCCTTCTCATCCAGCGCGTCCCTGAGTGCCGTCTTCTTCGATTTGGACAATACTCTCGTGGAAACCAGGAGAGCGGATAGTCAGACTTGCCGCAAGGTACGGGAGGACCACGTCTTAACCTAAGACTACCTAAAGAATCAACCCTTTTCTCCCCCGCCACCCCCCGAATCTGAACGATTCGCCCCGTTTTTCCCAAAGCGAGACCAGACCGATTGCCGCTGTGAAATCGGGCGAGCGTGCTAAGCTCCTCACGAGAAGTCTCACTCTCCCACGACGTTTTGGCACTCGCGTCGCAAGAATAGAAGTCGCTCTCCCTTCTCCCCGTCCCGTGTGTAATACGAGCCGATTCCCCGATATAGAGCGCTTTCTTTGCGACGCGATGGCTGTTCCAGGCTATTCTCGGCGTCGCATCTCGCACCCTCGCGCGGATTCTCGCGCAGATTCTCGCGAGAGATTTTTAATCTTCTCGTCTTAGTCGTGCTTTCCTCGCCTTTCCACGTCTCTCCCCAGCAATGTGAACCCTCACCTCGCTGGGCGCGGAAAAGTGCAGAAGAGTGCAGCTGAACGTGAACGGACTTTCGTCGGACCGTGCAAAACGGTACAAAGTCCGCGAAGTTGGTCGCGAGACGAGTCGAGATATGCCCGCTCGAGATCGAGAAAAATATTTCTAACCAAGTAATTTCCCTAATGGAAAACTTGCGTCGTGGGACAATGTTTTGTTGTTATTACGCGCAGAGATGATTCAGGAAACATTCTAACTGATTGATCGATGACTGTATTTAATGCATTGTTCCGACATTATTAACCGAGGTAGTTTTAAGGTTACCGACACGCCTCGGGACGGAATTCCCGATACACTTCAAAGAGATAGTTTTAATGACGGAGCAGCTGCCAGCGGCAGACACGCGCACGTGTTCCGCATCCTCCGCTAGTTATTTTCGGCCACTTCGGTGAGTGTGTCAAAGGGCAAGGCTAGGTAGCGAGAGGACCGTTCTGGGAACTCTGCCAGTTGGCTCTCAACTATGATACGCGACGGACAGCGCGACAGCCGGTCCGACGCCTCTTAGAACCGCACGGTTTCGGAAATTGCTTTTCTGTGGCGTGGACACATCGACGACATCGATACTGGAGCAGTAGTATCAAACGTGTGCTGCCGGTCCTTGATTTCATTAGACAATTTACGTTTTTTTTTCTTTTTTTTTATTTCTTTCTAAACAGTCGAACACCATGAGTATCCCAGAGGGTGTCATGAAGTGCGTGGCCATATTAAAGGCGGTGGACACCGACTCGGAAAAGTTCGCCGTACTGTTCATGGTCACCAAGCTGGTGACAGGCAAAGATTGCAACTCTGCTGCCAAGAGAATGCTCTTCGAAGCCATCGGAGCTAAGTTTCTCAAGAAGCTGTTGTCCAGCACAAGCGTCCCTGTGGACTGTCCACCACAAGTCTACAAATCAGTGGCGTTGTCCATTCTTTCCGCGTTCTGCACAGATCCCGAATTGGCCTCTCATCCCGATATGGTGGGACATATCCCAGCGCTCATGGAGATAGTGTCTCAGGCTGACGAGGATGCGCCAGACGACATGCTAATTATCGTCAGCGAGGCTTACACTTGCTTGCAGTGTATCGCACAATATCCTCCTGGACAGAAAGCGTTACTCGAGCAAAAAGCGATTCCAAAGATGTGCGACATATACGCGGAGAAGACCTTTCAGACGGACGAGGCTTTAAATATTCTAGTCACGTTGGTCAGTACATTTGGACCGGAAGCTTGGAATCCAACAGACACTCAGCCCTTCCATGCTATAATGAACAAGATAGCCTTAGACTTCGAAACTGATCATACAGAGAGAAAATTCGAGCTATGCGCCATTCTACAGGCTTTATTGCAATCCTGCAGAAAGGAAGTGATATCCACGAACGCAAAAGAAGAATCTTGGCCGTTGAGCATTCACAAAGGTCTGAGCGATATTCTGGGATCGAAAATAGGCAAAAAACAACGGGATCCAGCCTTGAAACTCGCGTCTGTGATGATAGATCTGTTGGGCGCGGATTGGGCCATGTCCGACAAGGAAAAACCAAAGATATTCTTCCTTCTGCTCATTCAATTGGCGTCGATCGAGGTCCGAATGCAGTTAGAGGACAAACAGCTTAAAGCTGTGCTCGAGAATAGCGATTTGATCACGGCTTGCTTTATCATTCTCGAGATCTCAATCGGCTACATCGTTACAGATCAGCTGGATTTGGAGCAGAAAGAAAAACAGTCTTTATACACGGCTTTGAAGGGCGCCTTCGCAGCTGTTATCGGTCTACTGAGTTCCGTATCAAAGATGAAAACGTTGACAAATGTGAAAGAGAAGCTATTCATATGCGCCGTTGTCAGGGTATTGACAGCTTGGATGGCACAAGAAACTAGCGCGATGCGTCCGCAAGTTTACGCCGTGTTACCATACGTGCTGACGGTGGCTAACGATACCTTTTACGCGCATCGAAACAGGAAATTGGCCGAGAAAGTCAAATGTAAAGCTAAAGCGGACGAAGGAACGTCGTCTGGAGAACCAACCGTTCACGATCCAATAAGCGAGGTCGACGTATTGAGACTACTATTGCCTGCTCTATGCTATCTGGCCGTGGAAGAGGCTGCCAGAAAGATTCTTCTTCAGCATAAGCAAGACGAAATCTTGTTCGAGTGTCTCTCCTATCATTGGACCATCGTACACTACAAGAAGCCGCCGGTGCCGAGATCGGAGCGTCTGAAACTTCTGCAAGATGGCAATCGGACGGAGGAGCTGGACCTACATATTCTGGAGGAAATGAAGGATTCTAGAACCGCGATGGTGTCTATCTGCAACGTCTTGATGAACATCACCGTGCTAGAGGCAAAATTGGTGGAGGAATCGCCGACATTCATCTCGCTGCTGAAATTCATCTACAACAATCTGCCGGAGTTAAAGCAGATCCCGGAGAATCTGGTGCTGCACGGTCATCTGGCGGTCTTAGGCCTATTGTTAATGAAGCAACAGGCAAAACGTATCAAGAAGAACGACTTTTCGATATGCCGTTACATTCAGGCCACCATAAGATTCCTATGGGATGCGTACATTATCGATGAGAGCAATGATCCTACCGAATTGGTAGTCTCCATGTCTTACAAGGAACACTGGATGGAACTGATGGAGCTCTGGTTCCTGGGGATGCAGACGATGTCTGGCGTGCTGCAAGTGATACCCTGGTTGACGCAATTTACGATAGAATCCGGCTGGGCGGAGGAGATCATCGAGACGCTGAAACGAGTAAAGATTGGCGGTTTGGAGCCGAATGTCAAGTCCGCCTTCGAGGATCTGCTGTGTCATTTGGTGAAGGCTGACGATAGCGTCGCGTCAGTGTTGAAAAAATGCGGCGCGTTAACTGTCTGTCGAAATCATCGCATGATGGAGCTTGGAAAGCGCCTTTTTGGAGATTAGGATTGAGTAATGAGAACATTATTGTATAGTTTTTTGGTTTTATATTGCGCGAGCGATGTAAAAAAATTATGCGGAATTATAGCGAAAGTAGCGAAGAATTAATTAGCGAGGCGAACAATTAATCGAACTTTTGTATAAAGAGCTAAGATCTTTGTAAAATAGTCTGTAGTATTTTGCGACTTAAATTTATTATTTTACGCGTCTCCTGCATACGATATTCGAAATACGTATGTACGCGTAGTCCAGTGTATATTTAGACAGCATCACGTCTGGAAATAGTTTCCTGGCAAGCAAGAAAACTAAGAAACTTACCGCTCGAAGAAACTCTTAAGTAAATCATGTATACGCGGAGATACATGAGACTTTAATATGTATATTTCGTTTGTATGTGTGTGTTATTATCAGATGTGCTTCTTTTTACTTTGCCACATTGCGGAAGCGAAAATTGTATTAGTACTAATGTTACTATAATCCTAAGATGTTTTAATTTGAGAAAAGATTTTGTAATGAAAGAAATAGTTTCCTATTAAATAGAAGAATTTTGTAAGCGTTTGCTTGATTTCATCACCATCATCCACTTTCACTTTATGTGCCTAACGTTCTTAATAAAGTTATTTTTAACAAAGGTATTAAAAGAAAGATTACTGGATAACGGAAATAATTTTGAAACAATTAACTGCAAGCTATGTATGCATTGTAATCTTTTTCAAAGACAAGTTTCATGTTTTAATATCCAGAAATCTTTCAGCTACAACTTATAGGCTTTGGAAATAACATATGATGTTGTTGTTGTTGGCACAACTCATTTTGTTGTGATTACAGCAACGTCCGCGGATGCCACTTCGAGTGTCCACTAATCGGCTCGAGTATTTCAATGAATCAATGCATTTTCTAGGTAATCATTAATAATGAATTAAGTGTCCTAAAAATCCTTAACTGACCACTGTATCCTGTCATCCTGAGACCTTCGTTAATTAATGAACTCCACATTCAATATTTGTCTCTTCTACTTTACATCTTGTCTATTAAGAAATCGCTTTGCTAACAATTCTAATCTCTTTTTCTCTAACGAGGAGAAATTCTGCAATACAAGCAAGATGATCATCTACGATTTGTGCACATTTTTATTGAGTGTGGAAATTGCTTTCATCCTCATCTTTTCCTTTTTATTTTCAGTTCTTCACTCATCATTCTTTATTACAAAACATATGATTATAATAAAAGAGAGCTAACATTGTACGTTTACCTGCAGTTGACTGAGGAATTGAATCGGGAATATGGGATCCCGGAAGATGCGTCCGCCAAGATAACGGCCACGTATTTGAAGCAATTTAGAAAATGTCCCGACAACGCGACTCTCACATTGGATGCGTGGCGTACCATCCTCTGGAACAAAGCGCTGGGCTACAAGTATTCGCATCTAGCAAAAAAAGTTTACGAAAGATGGCTCTATTTAAGATATCACTACATGATGCTGGCGCCAAACACAGTTTCTATGCTGCGTCAATTCAGGAAGAAATATCTACTGGGTCTGATCACCAACGGACCGTCGAACGCTCAGTGGGAGAAGATACAGAAGCTGTCATTGGAGCAATACTTTGATATTATCCTAGTATCCGGTGATCTACCGTGGGAGAAACCAGAAGCAGAGATATTTCAAAAGGCGTGCCATTTTCTTAAAGTAAGACCCGAGGAGTGCATCATGGTCGGTGACAAGTTGGAGACTGATATTTTAGGTAGATTTTCTTCTAACAATTTTATAATCTTCCAGAAATATCTGGAAACACATTTCTTTCAAAAGATATTAGATTGTATAAATGAGATGAAAAATTATCGTATAGGTGGAATCGAGGCTGGATTGTACGGAACAATATGGATACCTACCACGGATAAACCTCGTCTCTCGGTGGACGATCCTAAACCAGATTTTACAATAAGACACGTAACAGAACTCCTCCGCATATTGGAGAGAGGTCCAAACGCGCCGGAACTCGAAGACTGTTCTTCAAATGGATCTGATGGCAGCTAATGAGGAGATGCATATTATATAAATTTTTTTTTTTTTTTTTATGGAAAGCGACTCAATGCTTATAAGCATTTAATGTCTTATTAAGCAAAATTTATTAGATTTTTGTTGTGTTAGCGTTATTGTATATGTTTTACATATACGATAGCACTCAGATTTAATATATTGATTTACATTAGAATTGTTTTTTTTTTAAGTTTTTATAACTTTATTAATTCTACAATTTTCAAACTTTGCAAAATTTTCATAGAATACGTTATGACTTATCTGTACGCTATAGAAACTATCTCTATATTTTATACGATACTTTAATACGAAAAACACACATATACACACACACACACAGAACTTAAAACAAATGCAATTATTTTGATAATATATATTAACACTTTATGAAAGTTATTTTAAATGACGAGAGAACCACCGCATGTTATGTTTGTAGTTATTTAATGACTTACCGAATTAATAGATGCCAAGTGCGATGTTTTTCAGTTACCTTTTCGAAGTTACCTTCTTGAAGTTAAAATAGTTGTAGTGTACCGAATGAGAGGGAGACAAAACTCATGTACAAAACGAAATGCACAAACAGAGCTAGTAGCTGTAGATAAACGAACGAAATAATACATGGCAACTATTTTATTGTCCGTATATATACACTTAAAAAAACCGTAATATATGTAATATATGTATATTTAAGAAGTCTGCATAATATATGAATTTTCCTGTTGTACAAACGCGTAACATTTGTGTACATAGATATGCACGAAATGTATATGTGCGGCTACAAATGTACATGGTACCTATTTTTTCATGTATATTTTATCTCTGTTGAGAATTTGCAGCTTGTTGAATGAATTACAAACCACAGATCCTTATACAGATGTATTGTGAAATCCAATATAAGAGAACAGATGAATAAAAGATATATATGAATGTGAAATAAAATCAGCGTACTTTGTTTCCCAACACTGATATGTTATCAAGTGATAAATAAATCATTTTCCTGCGTGAACTAAATATTGCATATCCAATGTTTATTTAGTTGCTAATACAATAAGTTACTCGAAGGCGATATATAAATATTTATAAGGACAATATGACGAGCAAGAGGCGTTGAAAGCAAATGTTCTTAACGAAGGAACAGAAATAAATTCATTAATTCAGTTTACGATTCTGCTTTATCATGTTCAGATGTGATTTCAGATTCCGTCTTCTCCTCTTTTGTTTCCACTGTCTCGTCTTATGTGGATACGAAATTCGGTGTCGAAGGATTCGATTCTTGTTTTTCAGAAAACTCAATTGAATTATCCACGACAGAATTATCACGAGCACTTTCAGCAGCCACGGAAACCTGCTTGTCGTTGTCTTCTAGTTCTAAATTATCTACTTTCGAGTCCGAAGAATATAAAGTTTCCATGTCTATCTGTGCCTAAATAAAGTAGAGATTATTATTTATTTCCGGAATAATGAAGAATATTGAATTATCTTACCCCTTCAGTGAAGTTGACGTCTCTACTCTTGTGACGTAGATTCTTACAAATATGTTGAACTTGTTTGGGATCTACACCTGCTTCCACCAACGATACCAGCACATCTCTTTCGGTGATGAGTAGTTCAGGGTTCGCGTCGACCAGCATCACTGATTTCGTAGTAATTTTTGGAGATCTGTCAGCCTTCATCATTTTCTGATAAGATTCTAATTTTTCCATCACTTTATTTTCATCCAAAATCTTCGGCGGCGTAGGAGGCCTAATCTCAGATACGCTTAATAATTTTTGCGCATGGATCAAATCTTCCAGCTCTTCGTCTGTGTCTGAATCATCCGCTATATTTAAGGAGATCTTTAATTGATAAATCTCGTATAGCATTTTATTCTGAAATAAAAGAGAAAATCCATAAAGACAATATATTGATAAATATTGAGGGAGATACCAATAATATTTAAGAAATTGTAAGATATTAAAACAAAGTTCTTTTACATTTTTTTATGACAATTTTATTATTTATACCATATTTAATATTCCTTTATATTGATTTATGTGTTTCTTAAATACATCCTGCAGCTCTTTATCAGTATAAAGACCTCTCTGCATTATTTCTTTGGTGATGTTGTAAACAAATTTAATATATTTCTTCTCTTCTTCTTTTTGAGATATGAATTGTTTAGAAATGGACTCTTTGATATATTTTTCATCGCAATCAAAATCGTAACATTGCGAGACGCTCGAAGATAACGTGTGATAATCGATTTTTTTCTGTCTTGGGGATTGAGATCTTGATTTAAATATCGTTGAATCTAATCTAGTAGCTGCGCAAGGAGGTGGGAGCTCTTTTTCGTATCTACACCTTCTACAAAAATGAAAAGTGAAATGAAAAAGGGAATTTTCAGATATATATGATATGTAAATATCTCGTGTAATATATTTCAAACATAGATAATTATAATACTTATAAAAAATATACAGGATATCCCAAAATGACCGCCAAATATTTCGTGCATAGGTAGACAGAACTAAACTGGGTCAAAAAGTCCTCTACCATTTTACAATTTTCCCAATAATTAATAAAATATTAATAATTAAAAATCGCCGAATATTCATTTTTAATAATTTTTTATTCGAGTACTATCAATTTTACAGAAAAACAGCAAGAGACAAAAATTGTTTATTTTCTTCTCATAGAGTTCTAAGAATTCTTTCAGAATTTTTGTATCAACTTTTTAGTACTGCATTTTCTTATACATACATATGTACAGGATGTTTCTTAAATAGCGGACACTAATCATATAGTGTTATTCCTAATTAAAAATTGAGTCGAAAAGTCTTCTACAATTTTGCAATTTTTGCAATGGTCGACGAAATATCAATGTCTAAATATTTTTGAATAAGCGCGTAATAAATAATTAGCATATTTATAAAAAAAATATGTATATATATATATATATATATATATATATATTGAAAGTTACAGCAACAATGAATAAAATAATTAATAAAATTTGAATCTTTAATACAAGCTCACCTCTGTCGCAAAAAGCATGTTGGTGGACTGACTATATCAGGGACATCTCGCGTAGATTTCAACTCCTTTTTGCAAATAAAATTTGATACTGAAAATTTTTTATGTTTCGGTGAACATGTTGTTGGTGATGTCATTCTTTGACTCTTTGATGTTGATCGTTGCTGTCGATCCATTTGATCGGTTTCGTCACAATATGTGTGACTACTACAAGCTTTCAATTGATCTAAATTACAATTGCAAAAGTCCAGATGCTTCGCGTTTAAATATATTCCTAACATATCCTACATGAAAATTTCAAAGCACAGATTTAAAAAATCATTTTGGTTTCAAAAAGTAGCAAATTCTTAATCTCTAAAATCATCCCGATTAGCTTAATAATTGTAAAAATCTTTATCCGTTTGTTACATTCATTCCAATTTATAATTTTAATATGTTAGCTGTATTGAACTTTACCATGGGATGATGTCGAGTATCATAGGCCAATCTATCGATGACATCGTCCGTTGCTCCCAGATGCAAACAGACTTCGCTATCATCAGCTCTTTGTACTTTGTATCGCTGATTTCTTTTCAAGTAAATTTTATTTCTTGTATCAACTACGCTCCTTGCCAATAAAATCCGTCGTAGATGCACGCTCATTGAATTATACGCCGCCAATTGCTCAAAATAATTCTGTCCCGTTTGATTATAAGCTATATTTTGTATAGAATTTTTAATATTACAATTATGAATTACAATACTATTATATAAGTATTATAAACACTCACTGCTGCTTTTTAGATTAACCTGCTTCTTCATACATCTTGTCATTTCTGACGAAAAATTCAAATATACAATTCTTGATAACTATAATAATAAAAAATAATTATTGAGCAAAAGAAAGTTCTCTTAAAAAATTTTGAGCAATGTAAAGTGATTCGATATTAAAAATTTTCCATTTTCCCTTTAGATGGGAGCTATGCCATGTCTGCCACAGTCTGCCACTTTATTCACGAAGTTTTGTTGACGGTCTGTCACTAAGCAACGGTCACGTGTTAAACTCCCGCTCTGTCTGGTACTCTCATCATTAATGGGGAATATGCATATGTAGCTGTACAATTAATATAATTCAATATATATATAAGATTATATTTATAATCTCAATAATTCAATAATATTATATTTAAAAGTAAAATTATATATGAGGAACAAATGATTACATTTGGTATAGAATGGAATGATTAATATAATGATATGAATTTTATAAAATAACAAATTGTATGTTTATATATTAAATATCGATAAATACTTAAATATTGATAAATTGTTATCAAAATATTAACTGCACTTTGTTCGATAAATATTAAGAAACTTAAATACATATAAATGTGTTTGACAACGATCAGTCAATATAAAAATATAATTTTTTTTTATATTTCACTAGATCACTATTAAAAAGTTAAAAATCTGTATATTTAGACTTAGGCGAAGTATTATTGTTGTTCGGAAAGTTCTGTTTTCAATAGACAGCGATAGCAAAATGATCTTCAATCCGATCTCGTTGGAGCTCTTGTATGTACATTATTATTAGTTTTGTAAAGGTATACTTGTGCTAAAATGGCAACATCAATCGTGACTTGAATGGCACCGCACACCTGAAATTGCACGGGGGTATCTCTCAAAATAAAGTAACACGTTTTGAAAATATCTCCCACGGTCCACATTGCCACCATCGCTATGCTAAAATATTAATTACATGTATATATGGATAGTTTATGTATTTTCTTTTTTTTCTATATCTAATCCTCACCTCATTCCTACAGTTGACTTGTTCGACGAATTGCGAAGAAATTGAGGGACTCCTAGCATAGCTTCTATCAATACTGCTAAGAATCCAACAATTTCAATAAATATCGGTATATCCAGAAATAAATATGTTATCACACCACCTGTGCCAGCGAACAGAACCATAAAACCCAAGTAGGACTTGAAGTCTGTCCACTTCCAAAAGAACCTAGCATCCAAATCTGCAAAGTATAAAAATTCGCCACCTATAAATGCAGGTATTTATATGTATATATAAATCAGTATCTATATACATCTGCAATAATAAGATATATTCACCTGTAAGTACACGCTCTTTTGCTTTGATTATCTGCGTTCTGTTTTGTACATTAATGCAAAGTTTAATCATAACAAACATTGCCAGAATCATAAGTATACTTTGCAACAAAAGCGGAAGTTCATAGTGCTTGCCAAACCTGTAAAGAGAATGTGTAGTGTCAGTACTTGGAGACACATTCAATGATTTATTTTTGTCATATAATAATAAACATATATTGACTCTCCATAGAGTGGAGATTTAAATCACATGGAAATTTAAAGACCCAAATAATTTATCTTTGAATTATTTTGTCGATTCAGTCTCAGATTTAAACATGTATAGAATAAGTAAAAAAATATTTCAGGTTATACAATTGTACAATCCTATTCATCCTATTCTTAAGTGTTGAAAGAGTAACTAGTAGTTTTTCAGATTATTTGGAACCTAAAAACTCTTTGAAAACAATTATCCTTCACATAGGTAGTCTAAGGTTAAAATGAAAATTCAAAGTAGTCTGTAAAGAGACAAGATATGTAAAATGTCTAGAATATCAAAACATTATATACAAGAATATTAAGAAGCACTAAAAGTTGTTTGCAGAGTCTGTTAGAAAAGGAGACATGACAAGTAGTGTGTGCCTTCCAACAGTGTGACACAATGGATCATTACATCCTTGTTTGCCAATGTTAAACAAAGATGATATAATCACTGTGTTGCTTGTTGGGTTGGAAGGCACACCATGTCATTTTCGTTTAACATTGGCAAACAACAAGGATATAATGATCCAATGTGTCACGCAGTGTCATTTGTATCGCTTGTTGGAAGACACACCACGTCTCTGGCAGATACAAACCAGAATAGTATACGAAGCGTGTTGGCGATCAGGAGGGTGAGGCAAACGTACAGGGAGAATCCTTCAGCATCTTCCTTCCTTTTGATTTCCTTGTACTGCGGTACATAGGGTATAACCGCACCGAAGATCAACGCACAGGATGCGATCCAACCGGCTAGATTCTTTAGGTTCAGCTCGTACGTGTCGTCCATCGTCACAGGTCTTCGTTTCTAACATACCGCGTGCTCCGCCGTCGATCTATTGCATCGAGAAAAGGCGTTAATTATACGTGCGAACAATTAACGAGATAATCGTACGTGTGATAATAATTTACGTTTTTAGGTTACAAGTCGTCCATTCATCGTCACGTCGCTGATACGTACCACATGAGCACGTATCCATATTCAAATGTTAGCTGGACGTTGGTAGGCCGAATTTACTCGCAATATACGTTGAGATAAATAAATGTCACTGCATCGTATCAAATTTCATCCCTTGATACGATGTTTACCCTCGAGACAGCTCGAGAACAAAGAACAACAAAGAGCGTATTTTTATTTGTTTCTATTTTCGTACATTTCCCAACCGCGTCAACACGTGAGACATTTCGCGAGTGACCAATAGAGGTCATCACAAAAGCTCGTAATTTTCAAATTTTTTTACGTATTGAACAAATAATAAATAAATAATAAAATAAACCAGTGCTGTCCCCAAGATTTCTAACTCTGGGTTTGGTGTCAGTATTCACGCTTATTGCCTTTCTTTTTCTATTTAGCTTGAAAAAGGATCAAGAAATGCTGATATACGCCGAGCCATAATAACTGTCCAAAATTTGTAAATCTTGGACAGCATTGAAATAAACAGATATAAATATAAATATTCTAGGCATAATGAGAATTAATAGGTCTGTTTTCTGTGGTTAAACTAGTATACACTTTTGGAATTTAAAGTGAGATAAATATATGTTTGATATTTATTGAAAGCGAGAAACAGAATTCTAGTGCAGTCTAGTATAGGAACAAAAAACAGACATATATATGTCATAGAGATACATGCAAAATTTAATAAAAATATTTTTTACCGACTAAAGTACCTATAGTCAATATGAAAGAAAGCGTACTTATCATCCGTTGATATTGACGCGGTCTACATAAATATACAATTAAATGGATAAGTAAAAATAATTTTATGTCTACATACACTTGCAAAATGTCAAAATAATTATAAAATGTATAATCCGTATATAAATTATAATTATATAAAATTTCAAAACGACAAAAATTGTCATTATTAAAATTATGTACATTCGATAATAGAGTTTTTCAATTATCTTCGGAACCACTACGGTCTTCTCAAACTGATAAAAGTAAATCGTTTGTCATTGAATATTCTCTATTTATATAATCAATTTTTCCAAAAATAACAATTAGCCGAAAATAGTTAAAGAAATTGTAGTGTAAAGCTTAAAATGTAGATCAACGACGATTACAATTCGTATTATTGTTGATGACACCGTAAACAGAATACGATTTATAATAGTATATATTTCGCAATTATTCGGTAAACTGATAATGACAGGCACATGTGTTTTTCTCTTTTTATCATATAATTGCCGTGCTCGGTTCGACGTCGAGCGAGTGAAACGAGTGTAATGAACGCGGCCAAGTCCTCGACCGAGCAATCGCGATTCATCAACAGGCCGACCCGAGCGACCCGGAGTGTTGGTCGGGATTAAACGGATTAATTCATTTGTGCCACCCGCCACGGCAAAGCGAGGCCCGCGAGCAATCAAGTATGCTCATTGAATTAGCTCGGGAGGAGGGAAAACACGCCGTTGCATCGCGTTAATTGCAGTTGCAAAACACGTAACGCTTTTCTACAAGTAGAACTGCAAGGTATAATATCAAACAAAACAATAACAATATTGTACGGATTAATTCATATTTAACTGCAGCAATAGATTGATAAAAGGTAATTTGTTACATTCTCGATTAGATATATAAATATTTTATAAAAAATTATGCACGATATATAATTATATATGTTGACTGCAGATGCAGTGGCTAGCCTTAGTAATTTGCCTTTACGCTGGAGTAGCCAGTGCACGTACAGAGGAGGACCAGCAGACGTCGAGTGCAAGTGGAATCTCGAATTCTCTTCCAGAACAGTGTTTTTACAGACACCCGATAGACTGTCCGACCTTGGATTCAAGATGTCCCTGTAAGAGGATCACTCTTGCGAATGTACCTGAGGGCAATGCTGCGCTTTGCTGTAATACAGATCAACAAAGTCTAGAAGATGGTCTCTCTTGCATAGGTAAGAATTGTAATGCAAGTACTCTTTTTTTTTTTTTAATTTATCCAACAGTATATATACTCAAGTATTTTTACTACTGTGTCTTAGGATTTCAACATTCAAACATAAGTTATGTTCACATACGTAACACGACGTTGGATGTATTTAATGTAAGTGAAGTTCGTTGGAGGATGCTGAAATCTCTAGCCATAACCGATGGCAAGCTTAATCGACTGCGGGGGCAGTTTCGCATGATGACGCCCATACAATGTCTGAATCTCTCGAATAATGAGCTACGCGAGGTAGAGAATAATTCGCTGACGCGTTTGGTGCAACTCACTACGTTGGATCTGTCTTATAATAAACTCACTTACCTTCCAGCTTTAAATACGATGAATGGCCGAGAATTCTGGTTAGACATCTCTGGTAAACAAGCTGCTGTTCAATACTGTTATCTTAATTAAATATATACTTATATTATTAACATATTATCTTTGTTTTCTATAGGAACAAATAAACTTTCGTGTCACGACGTATATCATTACATCAATAAAACTGGCGGAAAGCAAATCACATTTAATCGCGAGAACGAGACAGTGTGTTCATCTATGGCAACGTGGCATTGGTTTAACACCACTGAACAAGTGCCTCTTTCGCAGGTTCTTTATCTCA